GAAGTTGTAGTTATACCTTTGCATGTCGGATCATGCGAAGAACTAATAACAAACGAAATTAATGGAAACTATGATTTAAAGAGCATTCCACTTAAAATTAATTGACAATTTATAAATACATTTAAGCAGCTTTTACTTAATTAATGTGAGATTTTCTTATTAATAGGTATGAAAGCAGTAGTTTCTACACACAGAGCACAGGGGAAGGGCATACTATGGTTTGTGGGAACCAGACTGCATCGAAGCGCACCTCCTTTAACGCATCGGTAGTAGGGCTTTTAAATGACCTTCAGGTGGCAACCCCGCGGATCGATGGATACTTCGCCGCCAGTAAGAAGGAAGTGAGCGGGAACATAAAGGTGTACGGTGTGGCACAGTGCATAGAAACCATCAGCAAAAGCGACTGCCGGAATTGCATGGCTGTGGTGTATAGCGATATTCAGCGATGCCCTCCTAAGTCGGACGGGCGAGCTATGGATGCGGGATGTTTCCTTAGGTACTCAGAATCTCCCTTCTTTGCTGATAATCAAACTACTGACATTGGCCACTTCCTCAAGAACGGTGAGCCCGACCCTTAATTAATTTTCTCCATTTCTCTGCAACTTCCATTGTTTAGAACCTTATTTAATATTTCAATTAATTTTTAAGATGATATTTACAGAGAATTTCAGCAAGCAAGATGTTCTGATCGGAGGACTGGTCGGGGGTATTGGGTTCCTACTACTTGTTCTAGCAGTATTTTTCTGGTTTAGATCATCAAGAAGGAAGAAAATGGCACCAAGAGGTAAAAGAAAGCTAGTTAGTTCTTAGTTTTTCAATTTTAGGCAATCTGACTTAATTTTGTTCCAAACGTAACGTGAGGAAATTAGCTATTGTAGACTTCTGTCTATAAAGATGACCCTGTATTCTATTACCCCATAATCTTTCGGCGTTTCTCTACCGAAATTGTAGAGATTTATGTGAATTTTGAGAGACACATTTGCATTTGTTTGGGTTACAGGTGACATATTAGAGGCAACAGAGCTGCAGGGTCCCGTTAATTACAGCTACAGAGATCTGAATACAGCAACCCAAAAATTTAGTCTGGAAAATAAATTGGGAGGAGGAGGATTCGGTGATGTATACAAGGTGGGTGAGCCAAATTATCATAGAGAAAGATTTTTTCTATCTGAATTGTACATAAAAAGTGCAGTTTGCAGAAGAGTCATTTGAAGAAATCATTTTTTATACTATTACCAAAAATTTGAAAAAAAATGGGCAGGG